TAATGAGTTTTTTGGGTTCATTGAGAACATGGTTGTTGTTCAATAATAAAATTATTCCTCAAAAATACAACTTGCCTAATAATTCTGCACTCCCTGTATAAGTGATTGCTATCTAACAACTCCGATGAATGCATCAGGAGCAAAACAGTATCTGGCCCAAGGATGCTGGAGCGGTGATTGAACCGATCGGTAGATGTCTCCTGAGCCACAAGAACCCAAGAAAATTGCAACAACATGCACTTAAACCACAAAAGGCCATTTGATTGGACTGATACATGCTGTTCAGATAAAAATAAAAGGGCCACCAGTGTTTACATAAAATACGGGAACTACGGAAAGCGCTGTGCTTGTGCGGATATGGCAAAGGGTTTGGACTGCATTCACAGAATTATTGGGTTTGGTGAATGTGCCGGTGTAGGTGACGCTGACGTGCAGGTGGACAGGTAGGCAGGGCGTGGCCCCGTGCGCAAGCAGTGACTGTGACACGCAGTGACACGCCTAGCCCCCCTGCCCGAGCAACACCTCCTCGTCCTCCTCTGTCCTCTCCAATGTGGCCACCAAACTTTTCTGATCAAGTTGGGACAGAACTTAAAAGCATCATCCCAGCTGTTCTGCAGGGTAAAAACATCTAAAATTTCATTAATAAAACTCCCTGGGGGAGCAGATCTTTCATTAGGAGGTAGATAGCATCAAGATATATTCTTTTAAAGTCAGGGGACCTCTATTGTTATGACACTCTGCAGGGGTGCCTTTTAAACTAAAAATTAGCACCACATTTTAAATTGTTCTTTTCACCCCCTGGCTCTTAATATCATCCCCAGTAAACAGAACAGTACTGCTTAACTCGAAAATGAAAGCGCCACGGGCTGTTCAGGTAAAGTTTTGATGAGCAGATGGCGTAGCAGGTCTTAAAAATAGAGGACTGTTTTAATGTCACAATGTATTTCATTAAATAAGACTAATGAAAAAAAGCATAAAAAATCAATAACTCAAATTAAAACTGCATTTATTCATAGTATTTATAAGATCATTCGGTAGTTGCTGATGCATTTGATTAATCGTATATTTAGAGGCATGCAGCATGCTCCAGCCATTGCTGACTTCAGTAGCATTAAAGCCGAGCTATATTCTCAGATGATTTTGCCAGCAGATGTCACGTGCGCCTACGGACTGGCCTCCTGTTGAATAAGGTAATAAACTATCCCTGGAACATGCAATTATATCCTCTTGCTCAGAAATATAATCTGGACAAAAATCTATTGAAAAAAAACTTTGTTCTTAAAGAAACTCGGTTTCTTTAAGAACTGATAAAATACAAAATAAACTGCTTGTCATGCTGTTTAATCTGCGTGTTTGGGGCCATCTTTAAAAGCTTTTCTTGGAAGATAATGAACCAAGAAAATAAAAGACACCTCAGAGGGCAGTGAACAAAACGAAACAAATTTTTCTCACCTAGTTGTTGTGAGCATGTTTTATTTTGTTCATAAATATGTTCAAGTTAAATAAATTCCCTGTTGGCAGTTACAGGGTAATATATTTCCTTTACTTTTTTAAGTAGCTACATTTTGCCACACAGATGCCCGTCACTTCAAAAGCTTCACGTTGGTGACATGACAATCATTATCTGTTGCTACAACGGTATGAGTAAAGGACTGTACATGACACTCATGAGAGCATTCTGATGTTAGATCAACGTTTTGATGTGGCACTCATATGACCCATTTACCATACAGCGTGTCTGTTTTGGCACAATCTAAGAGAGTTATGGCTCTTAGGGGCTCGAACACACTTAAGAATAAAAAGGGCTATTGATGCTGTTCTTTTTGCCTAACTTATGAAAATTCCCAGAGAGTCACTGTGTTTCTGTGGTGTTCTAGCCCATTTTACTGTCAAGAAGCTGAAGAGTAATCATTAACTAAGCATTTGTGGGGACTTTTATAGACTACAACAGCAGAAAGATGTGTTTGGCACCTTAACAAAATTAAGTAAACTTTGGTGGTAAACGCATCCTGATCAAGCAAAGTCTAAGGGAGAAGCATACAAACCGTGTTTTGTCACAAGTGTCACTGATTATAAAAGACTTTTTTATCAGTGTTGTCATGCTGATGCTGGCCTAGCTGTAACAATGTAACTTGTTTGGTCGTATTTTGTCTGCTTTACTGTTACTTGTTATAATAAAAAAGCTGAATATTTATTTTACTTACATAAGCTGACATAATATAGCAGACACTGCTTTCCTTATATATTTTTTTGTTTGTTTGTCTGTTTGTTGTTGTTGTTGTTGTTGTCAAGCAGGTTTTCGAGGACAACATATAAACTTCTGTATATACGAACAATGCCACATCTGCTTTCTCTGAGTCAGTCCAGTAGCAACAATTAAACTCAGCCACAAACCATCCACCCACCTCCATCTTCTTATCAGCACTATATCTGAATATATATGTGCAAGCATATTCAGGACTCACCCCTCATAGAGATTGCAGGATTCTACACACGTTCGTCCACGACTGAAATATCGACAGGACAGGCATTGGTCTGGGCCGGGACCCCAACATCCAGCATCTGAACACAGTGGGTCACACACCATGTGCTCCTTGGCTGCTTAATACACATATAAACAAAGAAGGCAAAGGATTATACTCATGTAGCATGCAGCTGAGCTTTGATGACTCAGTGTCAGACGCAATGAATAAACCCTAAATTCCCCCAAATTAGCTGGGTATAAAATTAGCCAAATAATCCTATTATTTATGAAAAGACACAGAACTAGATTTACTAAGGCGCTTGCAATTTGCGAAGGCTTATTTTTGCATTAAATTTCTCCGCCTCCACAGAGCAGATGTTCATTTTCTTGGCCTATAAAAGCTAGCTTTTTTTCCTTCTTCTTCTTCTGGGGACTTCTTTCCTAAACAATGGCAAGAGTAATTGCAGCAAGACACAGGAAAAAGGTGTGCGTTTGAAACACGTGCTCTGGGATAAAGCGGTAAACAAGAAAGTGTCAAACAATACGCTGTACACTACAGAGTGACAGAATAATTATCCTCCAGGATGAACTAAAAGACGACCTAGTTCCTCCCACAAAAACGCTCTCATGTATCCCAGAAACTTTTTAAAAACATCACATTAATTAACTCAATTCATCAGAGGACGTGGTTGGCACTTCGTTTTTAGTGTATACTATATGTTCTCTATTAATATAAATGGCCTGCATGCTCAGTGTGTCTACAGTACTGACTGATATGGTGCAATTAGAAAAGTAGAAGGCTGGGTTGCTTCATTGTAAAATTGCTGTGCAAACAATGAAGAGTGAGATACAGGAAGCACATGCAGATGCCAGACTAGTCGAGTTAACAAAACCTTACAAATAATTAAAGAAAAAGTCATTTTAAGGATTTAAGCCTTTCAATTTGAAAGGGCAATCAAATATACAGCTACTGAATACTATGATTGTATATTATGAAGTTGTTTTACGTAGCAATAGTATCTGGTTTCAGTGCAAAAGTGCTTAGCGTGACATTTACAGCACAAACAAGTGTTGTTTGGATAGCCATGTAAAGCAATACTAAAAACCACCTGTGATACAAAGATACAAATGTTAAACTTTGCTGCACTCAGTCATGTAAAGAAAATGCCCCTTTCTCTCATTTTATTCGTAGTGAACAATCTGTTCTGTGTTTCTGCCTCAATGTTTTTCATATAGCACCGACTGACTCAGGCCATTACATCTGCTCTATAATGGCCTGGATCTCTTATCTCTTTCTGTCTCTCTCTTGTCCCCCTCTAGCACTCAGTTGTACAGAGGTTGCTACATTTCAGAACATTACAGTGACAAAATGAGTGTTGAAGTAACGCGGTGACGGCGCTACAGATACACTGTGAACTTTTATCATCCCGCCTGCATCTGACGTGATTTCCCCCCTTGTAGGTTTTCTCTTTCTCTTCTCTTCTTTTCTCGATAGCCAGTGGTTACAGAACATGGTTGCAAAAGGGTCCCCTGCTGTTTTTGGGAACCTGGCTACATGCAAGCCAATGACTATGCCATAGTGTCATAGCCACAGCTTTATTCCAAATAAAAATAAAAATTCAGACAAAAAGATGCAGATACATAAAGAAAAGCGGATGAAAGTCTTTCGCAAGAGACAAAACCACTTCTTTCATGCTTCTAGCCTCATAGGTAAACTGACCAGGCAGAAATAAATGAGGAAAAGGAAGAATGATTGGTGCAAGATATAAACAAGGGGAAGTGGTGGTTGCATGGCTTTTTAACTATACAACAAGATCAAAAACATATCTTAACTTCAGATGTTTCTGACATGGCTGACTAACAAAAGCCCTGGCAGGAGCATTTTTGAGACTGAAAGAAGACAAAAGTTCAGGCTATGATTACAATTATTATAAGGGCAGAGAAAAGAAAGAAAGAAAACATCAGAAGAAATAAATAAAGATTAAAAAACCTGTCCCTGAACAGTGCTGATTAGCACGACTGACGGGAGAGATTTAGCTGGAACTAGACTGGAATTAGTGCCTCCAGTTTTGGGGACCTCTCTTTTCTGTATTAACATTTCAGGGGCAGTCTGTGAAAAGGTTAAAGAGAGTAGAGGGGGAGCCGGAGGAGGGATCCTTTTCACATGCAACATAGGTGAAAAAAATAGTTCTGTATTTTAAAAAAGGCCATTTACTGTTTAGTTAATAGTGTAATTAAATAATGAGCCAATATGAGAGACTCTGTGTTGACTATTTTCTCAAACAACATGTATGTGTTCCACTGAGGTAACCAAACGGATCTATAATTGTACTATTTTACATTTTGTTAATAGAGCATTATTACAATGGCAACCAGTGACTTCTCTCAGTGAAGTAACTACATTTCTAACATCATCAGAGTACATTTGTTTCCATCAATGGGAGTATTTCCTGCAGCTTTTTATCCAAATTTTGCTGTGAGAAAATCAGAGCTGTGGGGAAAATTACACTGATTCATATGTGTGCCCCTTTCACAGTATTTTGACTTGCATAAAAAGCGCTGGTGCTACTGACAGCCTCTTAAAGTATTATAAAATATGCAAATTCAGTGAGCACAATGAAAATCATATTTACACAAGAACCACAACATTTCTGCTTTGCTGTTTTCTTTCTTTACTGTACGCGCATGTAAAATAGTGCAGAAACAAACCAGGGATATTTCATTTAACTGTGTCACAATGAGGTGAGATAAACTTTTGATGCTAAATATGTATAAAATAATTAATACAGTCTGAAAAATATTAACTGAAAACTGTCCCATTTGCTTCTATATATATATATATATATATGTTACATTTCCATACAATCCTGGGTTATTATTGATATCTTATCGATGAGGCTATGCCGAAATGTAATATGTAAAAAGTAAACAAATTCAAAGAAAAATTATGGTTAAAAAGCCATCATAACTGTGTTTTAATACCATATAGCATGAATGTATTACTTGTTTTACATGCTAGTACACACTAGATCTCTATTCCAACTACTATGAAAACTAGATGTCTTAGTTTCAGGTTTCAGCAACTACTTAAATCGCTACAACCGCATGCATATTCACAAGAATACTCTTTGCTGCACTGTAACAGTGTGATAGCTGCCCTTTTCTAGCCCCATGAGGCTCAGTCAACTTTAGACACACAAACACGCGCACTCTGATGCACACATGCAGAACCATGTCAAGTATGTGACTCTTGAAACTAACCCAAAGTCTTCAAAGACTCTAAAGTGTGTGTGCGTGTGTGTGTGTGTGTGTGTGTGTGTGTATCTGTCTGTGTGTGTGTGTTCAACAGTAAGGAAGTGCCAAGGGGAAAGGAGCACATGAACAGTGAAAAGGGGCCAACTCAATAATGCAAATACTGGCTCATTAATGAACATTATACATAAATGAATAATGTCTTAACACTTGTGGCAGTGATATAATAAAGCTCTTCCATTTTTAGAAATGCAATCTTTATCTCACCACATCAGTTATTTGCCTAATTTCATTTTTCTAAACCTTGCACTCTCGGAATGACCCTGATGTTAATTTGTTTAATTATTGAATTATTGTTTTTAGTGTCCTTCAGAAGCTAGTGAGATAATGGGTACCATTCATAAGACAGACAAGCCTCAAAACCTTACTATGAATGGCCACTACAATAGCTCCTTTAAAACAAATGCCTTTGTTATGAAGGCTGGGTGATAACTTAGAAAGCAGAATTTTGTCTGTTGGTTTCTTGTTAGTTCGACAATTCAAACTTCTTTTAAATCTATACTACAAGAAATGTTGAGTAGATTCGTTCCTTTCTTTAGTGTACAACCTGTTTTAAATATGAACATGTTTGAGAAAAAAAAAGCGTACTCTTGATGGTGCCTGAGGCTAGACAGTGAGTGTTAAATTAACAGCTAAAATATGCAAATGTATCACGGTTGTACAACACAGAGGTCATTTAGCACATTATAATGACTCAAATATGTCCTGCTACCAGAGGATATCCAGAATCAGAGGTTAAAACATAATTTTCAGACAATGTCTTTGTTTTCATAGCTGTTCAAAAGCTGCAGCACAAAGATCTGCTCTTGTGGTAGATTTCACTAACAAATGCATACATATATAATGTTTTAACATAAGTCGTTAAACTATGACTGGACAGGTTTGCTACTTATTTTTTGTGGACATACAAACATAATTTACCTTTTTTAGTTTTTTAAAAGTTTATATTGGATATTTAGCAAATTTGCAACTAAATAATTGTATCATACAGTGCAGCACAATATAGCAACTGGTATATTTTCTGTAGCTTTTTTTTCACAAATACTAGGAGGTGACAAAAAGAGCAAACCAACTACCATGAAACTTGGTAGAAAGGTGTTGCTGTGGGCAAAGAACTAAAAATTTTAACTTAAAGTTTTCTTTAAAAGTGTCAATGCGCTTTGAGTTGTGTTGTAAGTGGAAGAGGGACCTATAGAACAGTGGTAAAATATATTGCAGTACATCAAATTCATTAGATCGGTAAAAAAAGAAAAAGTAAATAGGGTTCAAGGTTCTTTATTTGTCACAGTTATACAAGTATAACACACAGTGAAATGTGGCCTAAACCAGAGCAAAAAATAAGTAAAAAACAAGAAAAGTGGATAGTCGGAGCGGAGCGGTAAGGAAGGCACCTGGACGTGGCCGCGCCATCTTTCGAGTATATGCCAAGAATGGCATTGTTGAAAATCTGCAGAAGTTTTATTTCTGTTCAGATGACTATTTTCTTCTTTTGCTGTTATAGCTCTTTAGAAGTACATATACAATCTAAATAGCCTCTGATATCATGCAAAGCAAGGTGAAGGTTGTTGATCATTTTTGATCATTTATTTTTGTTTTGGTAGAGCAACTCATGAGATATGGTCATTTTTTTAGTGCAAAGTTGACCAAATATTTAATATTTAGATGTTTAGAATGATTGTGGCATCAACTTACAGCATTCCTGTGGACTTCGGTTGTTGCGAATAAGAACCTTTTGGTTTGTAGTACGGAACAGTCTTGTCCAATTGACGGTGTTATAGTAGCAAAGCTGGCTGTTCTCTGCAATGTGGACATTCCCAGCACTGATCTCTCTCAGAGACTGAAGCTGAAGTGATGTGATCCCCGGCTGCTTCAACACCAGCAGAGAGATCCCACTGAGAGGTAAGAATAGGTGGAGGTGAGAGGAAGACGGAGCCGACAGCAAAGGAAAGAAGGTCAGAGGAGCAGGAGGAGAAGAAATGATGTGGCGCAGGGACAAAAGAGGAAAAGAAAGGGAAGAGAGAAGATGGAATCATTTCACAGGTTTGGTAGAAATGCTGTTTAAACATCATAGCGGTCGGTCTACCAGTCATCTCAACTGTGATCTCATTAGTCAACATTAATTCTATCACTGAATCATAATTTCAAGAAGAATACACTGTGTTTTTATGAGATCACATTGTCCTATGTTGCAACAATGCAACTTAGAACATGTGTTTTAATCATTCTGTCTGCTAGGCTCTCTCTCTTTTTTCTTCCTACCCCCAGCTATCCTGATATGTCCCACTTGCATGGTTTAAAAATGACAGGATGCCAGTGGGTGTCAGAACCATCAGATAGACAGAGAGTATGCAGGATCAAGCACGGGGCAGGGGTGGGTGGCAGGCTATAATTTGTACTGCAGCCTGCTGTTTCCATCTGCAGGCAGGTGCAGTGCACATGCACACACTCTCACACGCACGCCTAGGGACACACACACACACAAAAACACACTGAATCTCACAGTCTACACTTTACCAGCAGACACTCGCTTTGATTACATCCAAATCCTGCTACATTTTTATTGCATGTTTTCCAAATTAAGAAAAAAAAATCTAAATGATGAATAATTAAGTGCTATAATTTAGGTTAAATAATTAAGCTGTCTTTAGAAAGTCACGTTTTAAGTACAGCATTCTTCAGCAGTAACAAAAAAAATTACACTTCACACATTAACATGCATAGCACTTATCCAGATAAGGCTATCCAACAAAACCAGATCCACTTTCAGTTTGCATTAAAATGGTTTAAATATATAACCAGAGGTAGAGACGTTTGATTGCGACTGTAACCTCGTCTTTCCGATCTTCTTTAAACCACAGCAGTTTGCAACAATGCATGCGAATTTACATCTGTGAGATAAGCTGTGTAGTGTAAATATTATCTATGTGTTCATATACATACAATATGTGTACAGCCCCTCCATACCAATAGCAAAAAGAAATAGAAATGAGTCTACTGATAATAATAAACTTTATTTGTATAGAACAGGAAATAATCAAACTTAACTCAAAGTGCTTAACATAAAAAAGAGAATAGAAATTAATTATAAGAAGTAATAATAATAAAAACACAGCACAATGAAATACTCTAAATTTACTGTTATCGGCTCCGTCTTTCATTCCTTCATTTCAGTTTTCCAGTGAGCTGTGGCTTCAGAGATTGTTCGCTACAATTAGCTAAAAATAAATCTAAAACCACAAATTTTCCTGCTTGCCATTGATTTAGAAGAACTGAGCTCTGATTGAGACATTTGTGAAACAACTTGGCATAAACTATTCCCAACAATCAAAAAACAAAATACAAAAGAAAGAAAGAAAAAGAATTTGTGAAGGTATTATGCACTCAGGTACCTGTACAATGCTCTTCCCCCAATAGTAGCCAGGTTGGAGAAAACACCCAAGTCTGTCATGTTGTCAGGCCATGACTGAATGTTTAGAAAACCTAAATGAAGACAGGGATGAACATAGGTTATAAATCCACATGAGTACTGACAGACCAGAATCACCTGTCTACCACACTGTCCATTTCTACAGTGACAAGAAGAAAATGAGCAGAGAGAACCGGCCTCTCTCTAGAATTAGCAACATTCCAGAAACACAACAATGCAACCGCACCACCTGAGCCTCATCTGAAATCAGCCAAGCACTTCTAAGCCAGATAAATGTCTGGCACAGCAATGCCACAGAGGAGTTTGGTGCCAGCTATAACAAGTCTGACTTATCAATATTTTTGCATTTCCTTTATTTCCCTGTCAACTGTTAAATAATTTAGGAGATAAAATCAAAAGCTGAGAAAATGGCCATGGCTCATTTAGGATTTTTAATAATAGATTCAGAAATATGAAATATTTATTAGAAAAAACAGTAGGGGACTACAATCCCCAAGCCAACACCAGAGGACAAACAACAGAGGCTACGAGACCAAAGAAAAATCCACAGTGGGTAGAAGAGCAGAGGTAAGAGGGGAGGAGAAGGAGGTGGAAGGAAAGTCTAGACAAATATAATGGCATGTTTTAAAAGCTAAACATGCAATACTCCAGTCAATAAACAGTATCAGACTCTATTATGCTAGACAGTGTGAGTTCTTCCCACAGGATGCATAATTTTGTTGGTCGGGGAAGGGAGGAATGGCAGAGAAAGGTAAGTAGAGCTTGTGGCAACACAATGCCACGCTTGGCTTGATGACAAAAGACAAAGTGCATCCAGTCTGAGTAGTGACGGGGTCTCAATACATGCTTATTACTAATGCTTGGTTGGGAAATGTCCAAAACAGGTGAGGAATCATGCATGATTTTTTATTGCAGTTGCATCCAAAAAGATGCAACTTCCCAAAATGGAAAAAACATTTTAACATTTTATGTCATTTACACATATAGCCCTTTTTTTTTTTTAAAGTGAACCTTTAATGAGAGCATAATGGCAGTCATTAGGATAAAAGAGGAATTTTTTCCATTATATAAACCATTATGAGGTATTCGTACAGAATGTCAAATATATTGCTGGGGAATTGCGGTTTGTAAAAGGTAATTGCACTTTTGGTATTTGTCCATCTTGATTCTCATGATGTGCAGTTTATGATGCTGTGAGTGCCTCTTAGCCCAGAGGCAGCAGTTCTATAGAATCGTTAGCGCTGTACTTGTCAACACTAATTGTCTTAATGACAAAACCTGCAGTGCTGAGGCACCTCGCTGTTCTGGCACGGTGCTATTTCAGAGGGCTTTGGGTGTTCTCTACTTACAATAGCAGTCTACTGCCTGTTGAAATCTTTCCTGTCTGTTCCAATGTAGGGATGTGATAGCAGCGAACGTTTGCTATCTGTATTTGCTATCATCAGAAAGTGGGTGAAGATTGTTGATAAGAAAGGTTAAAATATATAAACAAACAGTCTTTGTCCAAGCAGAGAGACACTCTAGAAAGAGTAGGTTTCCGCAATTGTGTTATTGTACTGCCAAGTAATAGTAACTTTCACGGTGTAGTAAAAGAGACAATAATGCTAATAAACATGGCGAGCACTGAGCTGCTAAGCTACAAAAAAAGTAGTACAATTCTAAAGGTGACTGGAAAGGTAGCTAGAATGACTGTTCAGTGCCCTGCTACATACGAATACAGCAACGAAGACATGTGATGCAGTCTGTATATGTATATAAATTGTTACATAGAAATTGTTACATAATTTCATTGTGCAAGCAACTGTACAATGACAATAAAAGGTCTAAGTCTATATAGTTTGTGTATCATATGTAAAAATACACCAGTATTGTATTGTATTGTACATGCTTCCTAAAGTCTGTGCAGAGTAAATGGTCACAATGCATTTTTGGAACAATCTAACTATATACACATTAAATATCCTGCAGGTCTCTACACACTTCACATTTACACTTCAGGCAAACTTCATAATAGATCTTCCAGTGAAGAGCAATAAGAATAGATTACAGCAAGTTATCAATTCAGAGGTTCAACTTCCTTGAGGTAACTGTTGTTGCTGATTGGCATTAATAATAACTGAAATTAACTGAACTGATTTAAGTCTTTGTAGCTAATTTGTTTCTAAGTTGTGCTAGATGCCTTAATGTGCATTTGCATCACTATCAACAATCACATAGGAGCGGTCCATGAGGCCCTTCATAGGGGAAAAGTGTAAATGGCCTGCATTTGTATAGCGCTTTACTCAGTCCCTAAGGACCCCAAAGCACTACACTACATTCAGTCATTCACCCATTCACACACTGGTGATGGCAAACTACATTGTAGCCACAGCTGCACTGGGGCGCACTGACAGAGGCGAGGCTGCCGGACACTGGCGCCACCAGGCCCTCGGACCACCAGTAGGCAAACATGGGGCTAGTATCTTGCCCAAGGATATTTGGCATGCAGCCAGGAGGCAGCCTGGGATCGAACCACCGGCCTTCTGATTAGTGGCTGACCTGCTCTGCCACCTGAGCTACAGCCATCCCTTAAGTGTAGGCCTGATCCTTTCAGACAGATTGTGGAACCTCACTAGATAGAAAGATCAATGCCAAAAAGCAAGTCAACAAAAATTTTGTGTGCAACATTATGCAACGCTTGTATTTTTTTGTGTTTTCATGTGAATTTTCATGCACATGGAAAGATCACTTATCAGGAGTGTATGCTCTGCTGGGAGCCACATCAGCAGCACACCAATGTGCATAGTGAATTAAAATGTGGAACCACTTGGACAAGAAGGCCATGAGCTCATAAGCAAAGGTTAAGAGCGCTTAAGTTGTAGTGATTACATTCTGAGTCACAACACCGAGAAACCCACTTATGCTGAATCGTGCTAGCTACACCCACACTTTGGGTAAATCCTGACCTGGTAAGAAGCCACCGAAAAGACAAAAACATAATGGATCAGAATTTGATTTGAGACAGAAAGATGCGTGTGCTGGTGTGGATGATGAAAGCTGTCCTACTACAGAGCTCATTTGAAAGCCAGAGCAACGCTAGCTGTGACCTTGGGGTCATGGATGCAGGTTGCCTGCTTTTGTAAAAAGTCACGTTCTTCTGCCAGCTCAGAGAAATGACAAGCTGAGATGACACACGTGTCTGACCACATGGCTGCTGGTTTATGCTTCATCACCTGCTTTCAAACTGTCATCACTAACCATCAGAGAGGAAAAGCAAGAAAACAAAATGACTTCGAAGTCAAGTTTTGGAATATATCTAAGTCAGTTTAAAGAGTAAACAACTGGACTTATACAGAGATTTATATACCTTAGCAGATACAAAGAGTTCAGATGCAAAGGTTTCAATCAACCGAGTGCAGCGTCTTGCCTGAAGACACTTCAGCATGTCGAGGAGCGGGTATCAAAATGGCCCCAATGGTGTTAATGGATAATTCACTCTATCAAATGAAAAACAGCTGCGCTAGTTTAACTTGCTTTCCTAACTCACTATAATCCTTCCTTTTTTCCCTTTGAGCAGGCTTAAATATTAGTTGTAACTGACATCAGTTGTCAGTTTCCATTAAGGAAAGCGCAATAATAAAAATGCTATTTTGTCTGCAGCATTTCATTTCTAAATCTTTCCTTGTAAGTTTGCTTTTGAACTGCAACAATACAACTCTTTTTCTATCAGAGTGGTTTATCACATTTAGATTATATAGACAGATGGTGGTCGCAGCTCAAAAACATGATTTGGATTGTGAACAAGTAGGAAAACTGCTATTACTACTACATGTATGCTGGCACTTGATTGTGTATGTTTATTACCCCCCATATTAGCTTTTAAGAGTAACTGCCATTAGGTATAACAATATTTATTATTATAAGTGCTACAGGTTATGTAGAAAGTAAATCATACTTCACAACTTTCTTTTCTTTTAAAAAAAAATATAACTGATGTAATCCTAAATAAATAAGTGGTGTTCAGATGAAAGGGATGCACCGTTTAATAAGACATCTGCTTTTGTCATTCATGGCTAAATAGCAGCACTGATATTTTACGAGAATATTTTCCTATTGCTTTTGAAAATATGACATCAGAGATATGATGTGTTCTTCTGATGGCATTGTCAAATTTTGGGGCTGGAAGGATGACAGTGTACACGCAGCTAAAAAGTGGAGGTGGCATGGAGAGCTGGGGGATTAACGATGTGCACCGCATGTTCTGGCTCTTTTCTTCATGGTGCGTGAAGGGAGAGCTGGGGCTGTGGGACTCAAGGCTAGGGACTCCCTGAGGGAGAAGCAGTAGAGAGAAAGAGGAGACTGAAAGACTCATATGATATTCATCTTATTCTGCAAGGCCTGTCCTTGGTTTGGACATTCTCAAGAGGAGGGGAGGACTTGAAGAAATACACATATGCTGATACATGGAAGTATTTATAAGCATTGATGTGAAACTTTCCTGTTCAAGAAAAGAGATGACAGTAAGAGTAAGCATTTGTTCTTTCTTTAAATACATACACGTATAAGACCAATGCAGTGCAACTTATACACTTACCTGTAATTTCCCGAACGGTGCGGAACACGTTGAGTTTTTCCGGGTCCAACGCTTCAATGTTATGATAGACATCCCTGTGAATAAAAAGAGAGATCAGAATGACAAAAACAAATCAAGTAAAAGAAAAAAAGAATGTGTTTTAGTATTTCCATCTGTATGTGTAAAGGATATACCTACTTAGAATAGAATAAAATAGTCCTTTATTGTCATTGTACATGTACAAGAAAAATGCGATACTTACAGGAAATTTTCTTACTTACAGGTAAGAAAAGTTTGCTACATTTACCAGCTGAAGAGGTAAATCATGTATGTGTACTGAGAATACCTGATTGGGATATTTTAAGTGAACTATATTAAATAGATATGAATGAATGCAAACAAATAGTACTGTATATCCATGCAGACATAACTAACCACTAACATTATTCAGATTAATCCATCCAATTAACAGTTTGATTCAATCTGTATCACACTGTTAATAGCTCGATGGTATTTAAAATACCATATTTTCACAAGTATTATAATCAGTTTTATTTCAAATTGCAATTTTGAGTCAAAAACAAAGTTTCTGATTATTGAGAGAACAACTCAATAAAGGAGACTGAGAATGGAGAATAAAAGGAAGGAAGCAGTCAGCAGGTACAGCGGTGGAGAAGCTGACACAGCCCCGGAGAGATCTTTGCACAGAGAGGTCACACTTAGCCACTCTAAACTAACATCTGTTAAGCACACATGCTCTAAATGTGTCCATCATGGATGTTCACTTGTGTGCTAGCTGAAGAGTATCATCTATCTTAATTAATAATTGAATCAATCCCCCAATCTGTATGCCAGGTGACCCAAATTAAACACACCATCTATGCTATGAGACCAACAGGTGCACACTTAGTCTAGTTGAAGGCTAAAATGGTCACAATGGACTAGCAGCTGCGATTTTTACTTTTAGTTACTTCCAACTTCAGTGGAGTGTGCACTACCTGTGGGCTCTTTTTCAACAATCCACTGTGAATGCTCAGTGCTCGCTCAGCTGAATACAGAAAGGCTGAATGGAATGGGAAAAGCCATTTTATATTTAGGCAGATTTTTTTTCTCCCACACTGTCTTCAGTCATTCCGCTAAGCTGAATCTTCTCAGCTCTCACCCTTTGATTCCAGTAATGAGGAACACCAGGTTGCCATTGATTTTGGTGCAGTTGACAAACTTGTCAATGTTGTTGGAGTCCACTGTCTGAGCAGTCTGTAGGCTTGCTGTGCCTATCCCATCACATGCTGAAAGAAACACAGTGAAACCGTGAAGAGAAAAAAATTGCATCAATTAATTCAATGGTGCAAACATGCAAAATACGAGGTAGATTAGGGGTTTGATGCAATCAGGACAACATGTACTTTTCCTGCATTTGCCAAAATAAACCCAATAGTGAAACTGACAACAGTGCATACATACAACTATATAGTGTTAATAATAAAATAGCTAAATCGATGGAGACAAACATTCAGTAATTATCTGCTGCAACTATATGTTTGAATTTTACCTTTTGGACAGATGTCAGTACAAGGGATGCACATCTTAATGCGATTCTCCTCCACCTCCATCTTGTTACTGGGGCATGCTCTCACACAGGAGCTGTGGTCTACCACAAAGTTATCTGGAAAACAATTCATTGTAAATGTCAAATACAGATGGCTGCTGTTTGTCACACTGGAACATACAGAACAATAAGTGGCAGTGGAGTGTAGGCAATCACATAAAAAAAGTGCTGAAAGTGACTTTGAAAGTGACTTTGCCTCACCATTATTTTTATTTATTTATTTGGTTATTTATTTACTTATTTTGCATAGGATTTATGTGAAAAACTACCAAAATAAAAAAGCTGCATACTTTCATAACAGTAAACAGTTAAATGTTTATATTATTCTCTATCCTGTGTCTGTTTAAAAGTAACAATGCCTCGAAGCGCAGAGCTCCTCTTCCCTCCCTGCTGGTTGGCCTTTTCAGTGATGTTTTGAACAGCATGGGGTGTCCACAATTAGTTGTGGGTGTGGTGAGTGATTAGCTTGTGGTTAGCAGTGGCCAAAGAATAATTTATGAATAAAATGACTAAACATTATACACAGGAGTGAGAAGAGCTATGCTGCTAGTGCAGACGCAGGCCTCTACTTCCCCGTCACCTGTACTGGCTTTGCAAACAAGACTGCTTGTCAAGATGACATGTTGGAACGACCATTGACCATTTATGTACCCCCAAGAAGTGTAACAGCGTAGCAAGTCAGCCATCCATCCATCTTCTTAACCACTTATCTAATTTAGGGTCGTGGGGATGCTGGAACTTAAACCAGCTTTCACAGGGTGAGAGGCTATGTACATCCTGGACTGCCAACTTATACGTACAATGGCAGTTATGTCAATTGGACATACAAATGTGAGAACCCAGCCTAACAAATACATCCCATGCCTCTTATTCTGACCTAAACTTTAAAACTTAATGATGTAACTTGACTTTTTCTACTCCTAACACAAAACTTTATACAAGTTTTACTCTTAAACAGCCATTTGCTGAAATTAAAATAAAAGTCCTTTGCAAAATGTCACTTTTACAAAACTGTAAAAGTCAAATTCATCCTCACAGACATAGTCACGCTCACACACACATAAAGACTATTTTAGGAAAGAGACAAGCTATATTTATGTTGCTAGTATTTGCCCTAAAAATGATCTACCAGCAGTAATGAGAAAGTTATGAGAAACCTAAGGAGTAAATGCAATTCAAGAAGCAGCTGCATTTATCTTCCAGTCCAATGCAAATGAGGGTTATAAAGAACATAACAGGCATTGCTACTGTCCATTCCTCCTGCTTGTGGGTCTCGAAGACCAAGGAAATCAGCTGATGGATTGCACATGGATGCAGGTGTAATTATCCACAGTGAACTGAAACTGTCCCATTAAATTAGTACTTAAAGTGTAGCTATGTAGAGGTTATGACTTAAGATTAATGTTTAAAGCAGTATGCATGTATGTGGAGTATCCATGTTTGTGTGTGGGGGTGTGTTTGTCTGTGTGTGTATGTATGTATGTTTGTGTTTGTCCAGGTGGTCAGACTTACGTGGACACTTCTTGACGCAGAAAGCTCCATAGGTGTACTTTGCCCTAGGGTTATGCTCCAGCTGGAAGGTGGTAGGGTTATAGACAAATGGCTGAGGGCACTGGGTCACACATGCCCCACTGTCATTAAAGTTGGTGCAGGCCTGCAAACATCCACATAAGTATTATCAGCAGTAGTAGTTGTAGTAATAGTACTAGTACTTGTAGTGGTAGTAGTATATTTACATGATCCGTACACAGTCACAGATTAGGTTACTTTTGATTGTGTGGCCAAAATGTGGTTTCACGTTTATTCATAACTGCTGCCAGCCTGACCCCAGGTTTGTATTGCAATTTCCTTTCAATGTCCAGTAGTGATATTACTGAAAGGTGGAGATGGAGACTATCAGCATGCACCCAATGATATTACAATCAGTTTAATTTTACTAAGAAAAATCAAGCCGGAGTGGAAAAAAGTAGATACAGAAATCGTATTTTGCTTGATTCTTTTAAAAAAAGTTAAACTACAGAATTTTAGTCTGGTTGAACTCTGGACTTTGACTGGGCCATTGGAATACCTTGATCGTTTTCTTTTCCAACTATTAGTTTTTAGATTTGCTGTACTTCCCATCACAGTCTTGTTGTACGACCCAATTTGGACTAAGCTGTAGCCACGACGCAGACAACTTGACATATGACTTAACAATACAGAAGAGTTCAGGTTAACCTAATAACTCCAAAGTGGCCAGATTCTATGGCTACAAAACAAACCTGAATCCTCACCCGTCTACCAACGTGTTTAATAGTTGGTATGGGGTGTTTATAACATCCTGTGTTTTGTATTTGGCAATAATAATAATGGGTTGGATTTAAATAGCGCTTTTCAAGGCACCCAAAGCGCTTTACAATACCACTATTCATTCACTCTCGCATTCACACACTGGTGGAGGTTGTAGCCACAGCTGCCCTGGGGCAGACTGACAGAAGCGAGGCTGCCATATCGCACCATCGGCCCCTCTGGCCATCACCAGTAGGCGGTAGGGTAAAGTGTCTTGCCCAAGGACACAACGACCAGGACAGAGAGCCCGGGGACTGAACCGGCGACCTTCCGGTTACAGATGTGTTTCCCAACCCCTGAGCCACAGTCGCAAATGTGTCACTATGGCCACACATTGCAACTTTAATCTTGTGTGTCCCAAAATGACCAAAAGTCTTGTTTGTTAAGGTTTGTTAAGATACAAATTTGCCCACCCAAGCTATACAGCATTGTTCTTTTTAAAGAGAAAAGGCTTTCTCCTGGCATCTTTCCAAACAACCTATACTTGTTCAGTCATTTTTAGTTATGCAATTGTACTGTCCTGAACTTTAACATCCATCCATTTTCTTCTGCTTATCCGGGGCCAGGTCAAAGCCAAGCAGAGAAGCCCAGACCTCCCTCTCCCCAGCCACCTCCTCCACCTTATCCGGGGGAACGCCAAGGTGTTCTCAGGCCAGCCGAAAGATATAATCTCTCCAGCGTGTCCTGGGTCTGCCCCGGGGCCTCCACCCGGTGGGACATGCCCGGAAAACCAACCCAGGAGGCGCCCAGGGGGGCATCCTTGTCAGATGCCTGAACCACCTCAGCTGGCTCATTTCGATGTGGAGGAGCAATGGCTCTACTCCCGAACTTGGCCGAACTTCTCACCCTATGTCTAAGGGAGAGACCAGCCACCCTTCGGAGGAAACCCATTTCTGCCGCTTGTATTCGCGATCTCGTTTTTTTCGGTCACTACCCACAGCTCGTGACCATAGGTGAGGGTAGGGGCGTAGATCAACCGGTAAATTGAGAGCTTCGCTTGTACACTCAGCTCTCTCTTCACCACAACAGACCGGGCCAGCATCCGCATCACTGCAGTCGCTGCACCAATCTGTCTGTCTCCCAATCCCTTCTCCCATCACTCGTGAACAAGACCCTGAGATACTTAAACTCCTCCACTTGGGGCAGGGTCTCGTCCCTGACCCGGAGTGGGCACTCCACCCTTTTCCCGGCCGAGGACCATAGCCTCAGTTTTGGAGGTGCTGATTCTCATTCCCACCGCTTCACACTCGGCTGCGAACCGTTCCAAGGCGAGCTGGAGCCCATCACCTGATGAAGCCAACAGGACCACATCATCTGCGAAAAGCAGAGATGAGATCCTGAGACCACCGAAGTGAAAGCCTTCCGCCACTTGGCTACACCTAGAAATTCTGTCCATAAAAATTATGAACAGAATCGGTGACAAAGAGCAGCCCTGGCGGAGCCCATCACCCACCGGGAACGAGTCCGACTTATTGCCAGCTATGCGGACCAAGCTCTTGCAATGTTCGTATAAGGACTGAATGGCCCGTAGCAATGGGAATTTTAACATGTAACATGCTAACTGAGGCCTGTAGAGTCTGAGATGTAACTCTTGGACTTTTGGTAGTTTCTCTGAGTATTTGACCTTGGGAAGATGAATAACTTTCTTAAGTGTTTCCTACTTGAATGAACAATTTTTGTCACTGTAGGCTGATGGAGTTGTCCGTTTCCAGATTGGGCAGCAACAATTTCTTCTCTAAGCTCATTACTGATGTCTTTCCTATTTAGCATTGTGTTAACACACACTGAAATGCTTTTCACCTCGACTTCATTATTATTTTATTATTGCAGTACCTGCCAGTCCATTGTAAAAATTAATAACAAATATGATTGAAATACTGATGAATTTAATTATACTTTGTTTTACTTTACACCCAGAGGTTGACTATATGCACACACTGGTACAACTGTTAAGCTACGTAATTATAATGCATGTGGAACTTGATTTTCTGGATGTTTGCTTGAGGAAATTTTCTCTGACTGGACCTCCTTAAATTTTAATTGAATATCCCTGTACTAAGACATGTACTTATTCTATATGTGTTTACAGACCCTAAAAAACATATACTTGTACACATTTAATGTTATCTATGATAATAATATAGAAATAAATTCTTGTGTCTAAAGACTTTGAATTTGCCAGGATTCAATCAAGAATTTACTTTGCCATTTTCTCAATTTTATGATGATTGTGAAGAGAACAGAAGAATAAAAAATTATGATACAGAACTTGCTTTTCCAAAGCCAGGAAGAAGAGCTCGATTAGCCATGGACTCACAGCCTCAGAAACAAGTTTAACATGCAAACAAGCACAGATAAAAGTGATAAAGCACATGGCAAAAAGTCAGAATGAAGAGTTCCCGGTGAAGTCTATATTTAACAATGACACTCATGTCAGGAAGAAAAGAGAATTAAATGTCATCAAATGATATTTGCCATACAAGTGGCATTTAAAAACTGAGTGAAATCCATTTTAAGAGGTACCTGAAATTGAAGGAAGGAAAAAGTCACAAGTAAAATGTGTCAGACTTAAGAAACCAAAAAAAAGAAGAAGAAGAAGAGAAACGTAAAACAAAGTGTTAACACAAAATGTTATCTGCGTAACCATATTGACATGGTAATATCACCAGGAAAATGATCACTTTAACCTCTTTTGTCACACCGTAATGATGTAAAGTGTGTGTATGTGTGTGTGTGTTCACTTACAAAGCAGTCTGTGTCCTTTGGGCCATAACAGCCACCTGCACACTCACGGTGGCAGCAGTCACTAACAAAGGGACCAAAGCAACGGCCGTCACACTGCTCCGCACACACTGTCTTAGTTACTTTGAAGTTACAGGCATGTTAAAAAGAGAGAGACACAAACAAAGGATAAAATGTATATATAATACACGTACTTTATGCATACATATATAGAATGTAAACACAACACAGTCTTAGAATGTGTCTGTCTAGCCAGTTCAAATGGCAGGTGAAGATAAAAAAATTAAAGCCCAGTCACTGGAAAGTTGTCACTGTAAAACCTTTGAGAGGTGGGGGGGTAACTTCAACTTCATCATCTGCTCTGGAAGTTATATATACTATACTAACCTACCTACCATCTATTGCTTTGTAAAATGCATGCATACACATGTTTTTACATGTGTCTGTGTCTGGTGAGTTCAGCTGAAGGAGAAGTTCTTTTTACCACCTACTAGCTATCTTCAATCATGTTTTCATCTCTGCTCTCGTCTGCTGTCTGGCTCAGTGCGACAAAGACATAGCGATTCTTATCTGAATGTACTACCAAAGTGAACATCTGTCCACCTTTGCAATCATATGGGCGGCCGCATGTCTGTGTGCCTTTCTTCTTGACAGCCATATATAAATGTACATAGGACCCTGCTATTTCACAGGTAAAGACAGCTGGTAATTGACATAGCTTAAGTGTCAGCAGTGGGACTTTCATTATAGAGCAGGAATACATAACTAAGCAGTTATGGATGAACCAGTAAAGTTGGCACAAGATAAAGTATTGGGGTGGGTTAAAAAAAGATATTATACATAGTGGTTTGGATAAATGGATGTACTGTAATTACAAATTAAACTATTTGCATAATTTTGTTGTTATCATATTTACTTTTACTTCTAAATGACTGAGGCTCTCTGTTCTTTTTATACTCAGTCATGTTGGTAATTAGTGACAGCTATGGCTTTTGGTTGTATGAGGTGAAAGATGCTCGACGACGTGGAGCCAGCGTTAACTGAACACAAACAACAAAAGCTTGTAATAAGAATAAAATTCAATGTCATTTTAAGAATATATTTGGTGATAAAGGTTAAAGCGAACTGGTCAGAACTGAAACTAAGAAAGTAAATTGCAACAGTAAATATTACTGGGGAACGTAAGGCTACTATTGTACACCATTACACATCTATTGGTGGTGCTTATTTTTGTTTTGAGCAGGGCCATTGTTTTTTTGATCTGTGTTATGTTTCCCTGCAGCCTTGTGTTGACAGGACACCATCACCATGATAGATAAAAGCTATGGACAAGTCGCCAAACAAACATGGACACACAGACACACACACTCATGCTAATGAGTGGAAAGCTACTGATTTACCATCAGTAGCATTCAATTAACA